AATGCATCCATATTATAATAAGCTATTGCATCAGTAAAGCTCAGTTTACACATGTTTGAGACCGAGAAAGCAAAATGTCATTTTCAGAAAATAATGTCTTAAGTTGATTTTGGGTTCAAGGGAGCTCTGTCTTGCTTCACTTTCAAGTGATGGGTTTTGAAAGACAGTCTGTTGTGAGGTTTTGGTTTCGTAGGTGTAGAAGTAGTGAAGTTTCTTTCTTCGTTTCAGAGTGTATTACATGCGATCTAGGGATTTGATGTCCTTTGTTGTGGCTTACTACTGGTGGGTGATTGCTTCATTTGCAACTAGTCAATGGGGTATTAATTTCCATATTTTTGAGATGTTTGAAATTTCTTTCTTGGCATACTTTGTTTATTTATGCAACTTTGCTCCTGCAGCAGCAGCATCGTAACTGAAGGTTTAACCTTAAATTTGCTCCCTAATCATTTGGTCTTTAAAGCTTCAGATTTCATGTTTTATTAAGCTTATGGTTTGGCTTTAAGATGAATCTTTGTTGTTGATGCATTTTATTAGCTTAGTTTTTGTAAAGATAAAGAGTTAATGTGAGACTAGATTGTAGTCATGGCCAAATTCTTGTCTCAGAATATTATGTATGATCTTCACTCCACTTTGTTCTAGTATTGATTTAATTTGCTGGTTTTGACGTATCGCCTTCACTCTCTCCTTCTTAGGGCTCAGATTGATTGTGTAACTTATAATCATTTTATTTTGTTCTTAATTATTTGCTTTGTTATGATCCATTGCTCTCTTTCTACAAATACCAAAATGATTTTTACTTGTCCATTGTGATAATCTGCCATCGACATAGGCTCAAGTCAGATAGGTAATATAAGTCTACAGCTCTGGCCAAAAATATTGCACGGCTTGGTCTCAGGACCAGCCTCTAGGTTCTAGCACGCCCGCCGTTGAGGCAACTCGTGCACCACAACAGCCCCAGGCACACTTTAGGCCAACACAGTGCTGCTGTGAATTTATATCAGCTTGATCCAAGTGTTTGTGAAAACTTGAAATATATTGTAAGGGCCGTTTGGCATGCAATATGTTTTAGGTGTTAATACCAAAACAACTATTTTGTTGTAGAAATGTTTTGGGTAAAAATCAGAACCAAGTTTGGTAATGAAAAATTGTTTTGGGAAATTTCGAAATTTGTTTTAGTTCCTCCGCTACAGTACCAAAACACACAATATCACCAATTTGGTGATATGAGTTTGGGTAAAAAAATCTGATATATTATGAACTATTTCAAACCAACATCAGCCGTTCCAAATATGATTTTTAGTACGCCTCCAGGCTACAGGTGAGGCGACTCATGTGCACCCCAACATCCCAGACACGCTTTAGGCCAACATGAAATGTAATACAGTAGTTTGAAATCTCTCAAAGTTTCATTTTGTATAGCCGATGGTTCCACCTATAAATAATAATAATTTTGAGTACTGTATTGTTCTATTTTGGTTTTTTCTCTTTTAAACTCCATCTCGCTTTAAAATGGTCTTTTTCAAAATATATAAAAATAGTAAAAAGGGAAAAGAAAGGAGTCTTCAATTTTTGAATAGTTGAATTCAAATGCCTTTTATTTTTTACTTTTGGTAATCTGAATTCAAATAGTTACTAATTTTTTAGTGTGACTCTAGCCTTTCTATAAGTAAAATAATGTTGTGTTTGGTTGCAAAGTAATAAAATTTGCAATTTTATAAATTAGACTTCAATTTTTAACTTACAATCAGCAAGGACACAACAAATTCGAAGGGTACCCATTTCAAAATAGTATATATATATTTATTTATTTGAAGATAAATGTTTTTTGAACAAAATAATAAATATAAATTAATTATGTCGTTGTTGATTAACTTTATATTAAGCAAGATTTTGTTCCATCGCACTATGTAACAACTCACATAGTGCCATCTCCGTCACCGACTACGGCGCCATGGACAACGACCTCCACTAAGACAGGACGCCGTGGGTCCGCGATGTTGGATTTTGGGTTTGTTCCACCATGGCCAGAACATATGGTAAGGTGGGTGGACGTTGACGGTGATGATGAATATTTATGGCCCAGTTGGGGTGGGTGGGGGTGGTAGAGAGAGGGGAGTATACGGGTGGTCGGCGGTGGTAGGGGGCGGTGGTGGTGGTGATTCGCCGGAAAGAAATGGTGGGAGTGGATGGTGGTGGTGGTGATATTTATATTATATTATATTATATATATCGGTGTTTATATATATACGGAGAGATACAGAGAAAGAGAGTGGGTGACGGTGACTCAGAGAGAGAGAGAGAGTGAATTTACTCCCTTCACGTAACCATTTAATTTATCTCTTTAGGAACGTGACATCCAGGTCCTACAAGCTAAGAATCTGTTTAATTCGGGGACTATAAAGACATTATATTTTTGAAACACTGAAAATATTCAGAAACTATGGATTAAATAAATTCTTTATATAATCTTTGTTGTCATAATAGAAACAGAATGTGACATTAATGTCCTACGGCCTCTCAGTGTGTGTGTATACACACACATACACACTATATGGTGAAACTATTCATTTTTCTTAACTGATGTAGCTAATAATCTAATCTTAAAGAAAAAATATTGTCCCGAACTGTGGTCATGATAGTCTTGAATTTCAAATATAATAAAAGAAATTAAACATCTTCTATTAATAAAAAAATATTAAATCCACTTCCTTCTGGAGGAGGAGAAAAAAAAAAAAAAAAAAAAAAAAAAAAAAAAAAAGTGAAAAAAAGGTTTAATTTGTGGTATTTTTGGGGTTATTACAATTTTCCATGGAACTTAAGAGCAATGGCAGAGCTCATAATAGGGTCAGCGTTTAGGTAATGTTTAATTTCTTTCACAGGAAAGTGCGCAATTGGATGATTAAACTCAGCGCGTGATTTTTATGATGTGGTTTCGGATAAGATTGGCTAAACAAATCCGTGTAAATATCACAATTCTTTATTTTTAGACCGTTTAAAATAAAAAGATAAACATTTAGGTTTTGATATAGTTTAAATTGCATACTAAACTCACTTCGGTATTTTGTTTCACTACAATGGCAAAAAATTATACATAGCACTTTCTTTGATGATTTGTAACATTGGTATTTTTGGTTATTTTATAGATATTTATGTTGTGATGATTTGTAGCATTGGTATTTTTGGTTCTTTAATAGACATTTATGTTGTGTTTGGAATAATATGATTACATGGCATTTGATTTTAGAATGGAATTTATGTTGTTAGAAAGGAAGGAATTCTAATAAGAATTGGATTTCATCTGATTAGATAGGAAATATCGTAGTTGTAACAAATTCGAGAAAAATTGGCAGAATTTTATGGAATTTGTGACTAAACAACTTTTTCAAAGTATCTTAATTTTATCAAAATATCCTCCTCTTTTGAGGTATCACTTTCTCTTGATGTTCGCTTGAATTCTCAGTCCTCCTATCGTCTTTCCTCTCTATCATCAATCCTTCTCCTTCAACACGCAAGACCAGGCAAAACTGTAAGTTTTTTTTTCTATTCTATACATCAATTCTGATCTTTTTGATAAGAAACACATATTTAAATATATCTTTTTTTCTCTGTGTTATAATATTTTCTTCTCTACCATTCCTACATACTTACGCAGCCAAATCGGTAAGTTTTTTCTCCCTACACTTTTATTTTTTCTCTCTTTCATAAAAACAAATATGTAAATTTATGATTTTAATTTACATAATAGATGTGACCTTTTCAATTGCCCATGGAGTCACGTACTCAAAATTTTACGTACACATGATTGATACTAATTTTTTTTTTTTTTTTGAACATTTCGTGTGAAACCATTAAATAAATTTGTGCTAACTGTTTAAATGCAACCACTCTACCCAACTCCATGTTAATGAATATGTGCCAACTGTTTCCTTTTTATTTCTTTTTTTTTTCCTGTTTGTTTTAGTAAAAGGGTTAATTTTACGTAAGAAAAACTATCAAAAAAAAATTAGAAAAGAAAACTAGACATATAACCTAAGTGACATACTTAACATAAAGTATGAGCGAGAATAGAGCGGCAAAATTAAATCCGTTGAAAAGAATTGTGTGACTTAATATATAATAACTTAAAAATTTTATGCTTGAGTTCAAAAAATACTTCCATCCTCTAATATTTCCTAGGCTCATTCATATCCCATAAGAAAGATAAGTCCAGTATTCTAATGTTGAAAAAGGCAGCCAGTTTGTAAGGTTAAAGTGATGCAATGGGACTCTATCCTTGCTACATAGTTTAGTGTGACTGTAGAACTACCCAATTAAAAACTGTCAACATTGATTCGGAACCAACTAAAATGAATCCAGAAATATACATATATACACACCTCTCCATAAGGATAAATTGGTAAAAAATAATATTTCCATTCCAACTGCTTTTTGCATCCAAACATAAAAAGGAAATTCATTGTTTATTCCAAACACACAAATGAAATTCCATTTTAATTCCAATCCAATTCCTTTTCCAATTTTAAATCCAAATCCCAAGGATTTGGTTCCAAACAGAGACCACTAGTCTGATTCAAACTGTCCAATAGCTTGAGAGATTTTTGTTATGAAGCTTCTGTGAGAATTTTACAAAGAAAAGTGTATTTTATAACTCTATTAGGACCACTAATTCAATCATTTTCTTACTCTTCCCACCTAGAATTGATTAGGTCATTGTAATGAAAGTAATCAAGTTTTCAGGTAAATGCACAAGTCTATTGTACTGTATTTATCCTGACATGTCTTGTAGCGTTGGAGTAGAATCAGTAAATTTGATTGTAGCTGGTCTTAAAAAGTTTGTGCATGAAATAAATGTTTGTGTTCAAAAACTGTATGAACAACTTGTGACGTTATATATACACCTCTAATTTGAATTACATTGTATCCTTGTGGCCTTACCTCCCTTCTGTCAAAATGATGCCACTCAGTCTCACACAATGAAAACACCATTCTGCTACTAACTCTTGTGTAGAAAATATGAAAACACCATTCTACTACTAACTCTTGTGTAGAAAATTTATACATCTTTCTGAGAATTACAATGTCAAGCGTGTTAGGCTGATAATGTTTTGCATTTGATTTTTATACAGCTATAAAAATAAAAAAAAAAACCATAAAATTTGGCTGTTTGATGCAGACAATTGACAGGGTTGATTGTAAGCATGAAATTGGGGATCGGATTTACAACTCTCTTCTTTGTCATATCAGTCCAAGTCTGGAAACACGGTATGCTTCCCTGCAACAATACACAGAATATGAATTCTAACTAAACAAATAAGACCATTGTTGAAGACTAATAATAAAGATTCCAGTGCTGTAATATTTATCTATATATATACTTGTGTGTGTAATAGTTAAAAAATAAAAAATAAAAATTCAATTATAAATCTTATTTTCAACATGTATCACTGTATTACTACAGTACATTTGAGCCTTTATATAACAAATTATCAAATCATGTTACGTCAATAGGACGTGTGCTGACAAATTGTAGTACAAAATTGAGTCTATACTTTTGTTATAATTTCTAGCTTAGCTTAGAAGTTGTTCGAAAGTTAGTGCTAGTTACCCCTCCCAAGTTCAAATAAGGAATTTATGTTACAAACAAGTGCATTTTGGTAATTTTCATATACAAGGGTAAAAAGGTAAATTTTGCATACTAATTCACTCGCAGACACCAATGCATTGCAATGAACCAATTTCTAAACTAATTTTCGAACAATTTCTAAACTAAGCTGAGGCATAGAAAACAGTACACTCCAGATTTGTCCACGTAAACCAATACACACCACAGTCCAAAATCATTTTCAGCAATGACTTAGGTCTACATACCTGTCCCGGTCGTCCAAAATCATTTTCAGCAATGGCTTAGGTCTACATAACATGATTAAAACAAGCATGAAGACTACATACCTGTCCCGGTCGTCCAAAATTTCTTGGTGGCTCCACCACCACCACCACTAGTACTAGCACCCCCTTCTGCATTTGCTTCTGCATTTGCTGCATTTGCTTCTGCATTTGCTGCATTTGCTTCTGCATTTGCTTCTGTCACGTCCAAAAGACTTTATAAAAAATAGTGTCCATCAGCAAAAAAAGCAGAGTGCACTTGGGCTAGTACCAGCACCTCTTTTTGGTTTTCCTGCTTCTACCTTCAAAGTACAGCCACCAAGTTTAGAACCATTGAGTTTACGAGCTCTGTTGAAACCTTTGATATTCTTAAATTCAATGGAAGCAATCCTGCAACAACAAAAGATGCAAGAGAAATCATTCATACACAGCACATATGGAGTTCATCAGTCCAACCACAAACAAGTCTCGAGATACAGACATTGGTTTCATAAAATTTCTTCTTAGGCAAAAAAAAGATGTTAAAAAGAAATATTACCTTTTTAAAAAAAACCCTAAAAGGGAACACATAGTATAGTTGTACAGCAGAATTACCATATATACTGGCTTCTGCAAGTGTTCGTACCATGTTTAATTAACTCTCATTCCTTAAAGAAGCACCTACTCTCCTCGCAAGTTAAAGCAACATTTCATCCCTTAAAATTAGCACTTGATAACATAACCAAGTTTCTATTGATAGGCGCTAGAACTATCACTGAGTAATCAACATTTCGGATGGATTTCTCCTAAGGAGCACAAATAAGCTAACATGTCATAAATTGTCTTCACATTAGCGATAGACATCCTCTCAACCAGACTAGCTTAACACAGCACAACTAAGAAGAAGAGTTTATGCTTCCTTGATAATGCATTGTTGATTCATTTTTATGATAAAACAATAGTGTACAGTTGCTATATGTTGTATCCTGACAATATCATAAAATGATATAAGGGATTCATGCACAGCACGGCATATAGAATGCCAAATTGACTACATGCATTGTCTGATTGACATATGGATGATGCATATTATGATAGATAGGATACCTGCACGGCATATAGAATGGAGATACGTTGCAGGCATAATATAATTGTTCTTTTCATTTTAAGAATTATCATGCTTAAATATTTTCTTACCCAAATATATATGATTCTTTTTTTATTTTCAGATACTCTAGAATGAAAGAACAAATTTAAAGACTCATTTGCTTCCACTGCAACATATGAAAAACTCTTTCACATTTAAGAGTCCACAAAGGATTCCCATTGGATGCGAAATTGACTCTACAAAATTTCTAAGATAGAACTTGAACCAAGATATATAGAGCATAGTTTAACTTCTGCAACTACAATATGTAGGTGTGACATTCACACAGTATTATCGTGATTTATGTGCATACTATTATTGACCAACACATGAAAGGAAATTGAGCATGACTTTTTGAGTACATAGACATGATTTAAAAACCTAATTTGGCATTGAATTTAATGGTTTATGCATCTTTGTAAATTTTTCAATTTGTTTAAAAATAATAATTTAAATGTAAAATATGAGATGAAATGATATTATAAATGATACCAGAAAAAAGAATATCATTCCAGTAGGATACATGATTCAACTATTACAACAACCACTGACAAGATTCAAGGCAGAGAGTACTAAGCAAAGAAAGTACAAACCATCCCACACCACCATCATAATCTTCTGGTATGGAAACCTCTAAAACCTTTCCGCAATGAACAAAATGTTTTTCCAGTGAATCCCTAATCTGCAATTCAGAAATGGAGCAAATTCAAGCACATTTATACAGAAGTGTGAGAAAGAAAAGCACTAATGTTGGAGTAAAATATGCTTGCAAAACAAACCTGTCTCTCGCCACCACTTGTATCAAAACCTTCTACATAGATGGTATTCCCTTGAGCTTCCCCTCCCTCCTGGTACGAGTTTTCCTCATTGCTACAGTTTTTGGTGATAATAAATTAAATTCATCAAACTAAATCAGTGTAATTCATGACACTTATAATTTAATCAGTGTAATTCATGACACTTATAATTTAATCAGTGTAATTCATGCCACTTTTAATTTCCCAAAGGCCATGTTATACCTGAAAAATTCATTGTATGATCTCCCTTCCTCAACAAATTCAAGTGTCAAGGGACGTTTCTGTGATTCTTCCCCATTCAACTCGAGAGCCTGCAGTAACAAAATATAACTAGTAAAAATACAAAATTTGGCCAGTTGACAACATGATACTTAGCCGTGTCTGATATTCTCTAACACCAAATAAATTTGAACCATAGCTCAAGAACAAGATACTGCAACCTTAATAGATGCAACTTTAATAGATACAGGCTAAGGTAACCAGAGAAAATATAACATTCCATACACAAACCATGTTTTCAGTATTATACCAATAGCACCAAGGATCAATTTAGTTAACTAGATTATATAACAAAATCAATATCATACACGATATCGTGCATCAAGAAGTTCTGTAAAAAAAGTAACAAGGAAACCAATTCTTTTAGATGTCAAGTTTGATCATATTTCTTGTATAATGTGCAAAATGCGGATATGTACACATTAAAGCATAACCATGGAGAGTCAGGGAAAAAAAAAACATTTGGCTTTATATATGTAACACCACATGACAATATATTTGTATTCAATTTGAAATTTGCTCCATTTGCTTCTGTGTAAAACATTTGTCATTAAATAACATGCAAAACAATTTTTCCCCTTTATTTCATTTTATTTGGCTTTATATCCTAAAGGATTAATTTCAACAAACCCCCTATAGTAACTTTTTTGTCAAATTAACATATGAACTATTGAACTCGAGTCAGAAAGCCCCCTACTTTCATTTGTCGTTTAAAAAGTAACTATCACTATAATGCTCTTTTTTACCACTGCACGAAGTGATTTTTTATGTAAACGGGTGTTCTCATTGATCAGAAGTTTCGTAAGCAGAAATTTAAAGATATTTATATTTCAACTCATACAAGTTATAAATCCAACAAAGGGGCAATAAGCAACAATGCCAACAAAATAGATCAAAAAACGAGCAACTTTAGGGGTCCAGTATACGATCATCATTCTTGGCTTAATGCCATTTCCCCTGCTATGTTTAACTTTTTAAAGCCCTTTTTAATAACCCCATCCCATGTTATTTTTGGACGCTCTCTCCATCTCTTACCTTCTATTACAACTAGTCTTCCTCGCTTCACTGGCTCGTCACTAAGTCTCCGGTATATGTGTCCAAACCATCTAATTTTTCTCTCTCTTGTTAGTGACCTTATCTCTTCTAGTCACTCCACTTATCCACCTTAACATTCTCATTTCCACTTTCTTTTTTAGCGCCCCACACTCTGCCTCATATAACATAGTTGGTCTAATAACGGTTTTATAAAATTTTCCTTTTAGCTTATATGTTATTCTTTTATCACATAATATCCCACCAACTTGCCTCCATTTTGTCCAACCTACACCAGTTATATCGATATCCATCTCCCCATCATTTTGTATTATCGATACTAGGTACCTACATTAGTTGTTTTGTGTAATCTTCTGGTTTTGAAGTGTTATCACTATATTATCAATATCCAAATCTTTACTAAATTTGCACTCCATATACTCTGTTTTAGTTAAGCTAATTCTCAATTCTTTCGATTCTAAAGCATCTCTAGTTTCATTGTTAAGTTCTCTTTAGAGGTTTCCAAGAAAACGATGCCATCGACAAACATCATACACCATGGAATCTCGTTTTGGTAATCTTTTGTTATTTCATCTAAGATTGTCACAAAAAGATATGGGCTTAGCAGTGAATCGACCCTTGGTGCAATCCTACATTTATGGCAATTTCACTAATGCACCACATGTGGTATGTACTTCAGTTTTAGTATTCATATACATATCTTGTATAGTTTTTATGATACATAATGGGACTTGTTTTCTTTGTAGGACCCACCAAATTATATATCTAGGAACCTATCATATGCTTGTTCTAAGCCTATAAAAACCATATGTAAGTTTTGTTGCTTATTCCTACATGTTCAACTAGTTGCCCAAGTAGGTATATCGCTTCCATTGTTATGAATCCAAATTGGTTATCCGATACCATGGAAACCTTCCTTAGTCTTTGTTCCATAACCCTTTCCCATATTTTCATTGTATGACGTATTAATTTAATTCCTCTATAATTGGCACACTTCTGTATATCTCCTTTATTTTCGTAAAGTGGTACTATGGTACTCTCTCCCCATTCATTTGGCCTCATAACTTGTTTTAGGATGTTGTTAAATAACTTTGTTAGCCACTCTACCCTACATTATCTAACGCACGTCAAACCTCTACATTCCTATGTTAGCTTCATTTCCTTCTACTTCTCTGTACTCAGTCTAGTATAGGATCTAAATATTATTTGACAGGTCAAAATAAGTAAAACATTATACAACAAAGTCATTACAATTGATCAGTTTAAATGCTCCAACACCACCATTTCAAATGCCAACCACTGAGGTTTTAGTAGTTCTCCACAAGTCTTAAATAAGCATGACAAGAAAAGAAGACAACCTTTTTTGCCACTTCTACGGTAGTAAACTCAACAAAGGCCAAGCGCTGAAAAATGCCATTTTGATATCCAAGAATGATTTTAACAATTGATCCCGCATATTCCTTAAAAAAAGCCCATCTGTAAGACAAGATTCATCAGATAAAATTCAGCTTTGGAATAATATGGATAAATGTAAAATTTTTAAGTTATACATACAAATCAGCTTCTCGAGCACGAAAGAATAAGTTGGCCACCAACAGTGTTTTCCTTTGGGCCTGCATCAGAGATTACGATTTATCTTCCAATTCTATGGCACATAGTTTATACTAATGATATACCTAATGATACAAATTGGAGAAGAGAGAAAAAGAAAAAGAAAATAATTTTTTTTTCTTGAAAGAGAACGTGTAAGATTAATTGAATTGATGCTTACAGCTTTCTTTCCAGATCCGGAATCAGCTTGTTCGATCAATGCTACATCTGCCATTTCTACATCTACATCCTGTTTAGCCAAGAAAGTATAGTTTATTTAGTTGAAGGCAATTTGTTGGAGCATGACAAGAAGGAAGTGTTTCTAAAAGCAAGCCAACAGCTCCTACAATTCTCATCCTAAAAACAAATTAAAGACATGTGCCAACTAAAATAACCATCGCTTTTTGTCAACCCAAAATAAATAAATAACAGATATGAGACATCGCAAAAATATTCAATTTTAGCACCATGCAAACTCAAACTCGCCCTATTACACACACAGCATCTATGGTTCAATTATAAGAGATTAAATTTACTAATTTGAATATTCAAATCTAATGGCGTTTTGATCTCTATAAAAATGATAATCTGAACCATGTGATTGGCAACTTTAATTGTAATAATTATTTTATTTCGTTCCCCACAGTATGCAATTGTAATGTTCAAATTAATCACATGTTTTGATGTGTAACTACTGCAGAACACTAGCCTAGCATTCATCAACCAAAGTCATATCAGGCCATATCAAATATTACAAATTGCAGCTAAACAATTAGTTTTAGGACGGATCATAATTTTATATGTGATAGATCAGATTTCAATTGTATTATTTGAGGAAGTGGTCTTCACATTTTTATTTGGAGTTCTGGAGGGTGGTTGCTCTTCTTCCTCAGAAGTGTCTCCACTGGAACTACCCTCCTCGGAACTGATTTCCTTTGTAGCTTCGGAAAGCTAGCACAATTACATAAAAGCATGAATTACAGCAAAAGCAATAATCAAAATTAGAAACCAGTGAATTATCATAAGATTGTTGACCAATTTATAATCTTCACAATTTTCAAACCAGTCCGCTGCAACATATTGCACAAGGTGATCACTCAAAAAACAAAATTGAAATAAAATAGCAAGAAATTTAGGTATAGTGCCTATAAATGATAAAATTAGGGAAACTGGATATAGGTCACCAGAGTAAACAATTTCAAACATGTAATGGAACAACATTACAAACTATATTACTAAAACTTAACTATTTGTACTTTTAGCATCAATTAAATTGGATAGTAAGAACTCACATCTCCTTCGTCGTCCTCCTCCTCGTCGTGTCCCTCACTGTCATCGTCACCTTCGCCCTCACCGTCATCATCCACCAACTGAACCGGAGGCCTACCGGAGTTGTGCAACTCCTCCGACTCATCCTCGTCGTCGCCACCGTCCTCCTCATCATCGTCTCCATCTACTACTTCAACACCGTCACTCATCTCAGTATGATCACTTTCTACTTCGCAATCAACTTCACCTTCATCAACCTCCCCATTCACAACCCAAACTCCTTCCTCTTCCTCGAATTCCCTCTCTTCCTCCATAATTTCAGCAAAAGCAGAATTTTCTCGGGAAATTCTGAAAAAAAAAAGGAGGGAAATGAGAGTTGGGGGAACAGAGGAGCTTCTTAGGGAAGCCCAGTGGTGCTCCTGCCACAACCTTTATCTGAGCCGTTGAATGAAAAATTGGGGAGGATCGATGACGTGTCATGATATTAACGGTAGTAATGATAGGACTCGTAGTACTTCTTTTGTTAGACTCGCATTTTGTGTTTTTTTTTTTTTTTTTTTTTTGGGGAAATTACAATCACCAATCAGATATGGGGTTAATTTCACTCACACCTAGACTTGTCAATGGAGTGGATCCTGATCTGATTTGAATCCGATCTAATTAGTCAGATATGGAATGAACAAAAAATCCAATAACCCGATTATGATTCGAATCCGATAATCCGTTAGCATAATAAATCGGATATAGATTATGCTAATTCGATTCGATTAAAATTATATATATACAATTATTTATCTATAATTTTACATATATATATATATATATATATATCAATAGTCCTATTTCGGGTTGACAATATGACCCGTTCCTGCTGTCACCCGCCCCGCCCCGTCCTATTTTTAACAATTTTGGGGGACCGTTTAGCTTATTGAGGCCGGGAAGGTTTTATTTAATAAAAACTCGCGCGGGTTTGGTGCGGTGGCGAGGGGAAGTCGTCCCGCACCGCCCTACCTCATTTCAATAGGCAAATTATTTAAGTACCATTATTTCATTAATATATATATTTCTCATTATATATATTAAGTATCCTATATAATAATATTAAAGTAACAAATAAATTTGATTAGAAGAAAAGTTGCAATGGTGAAGAACTGAAGATGAGGGGGGAAAAAAAGAGCAAATCTATTTTAACAATAAATAAATTTTGGTCTTAAACGGGGTGGAGTGGGTACCCGTGGGGGTAAAAATGTTAAACGGTTGCAGGGATGGAGAGGAAAGTTCCCCCGTTTTTGTAATTTTTGGGCGGAGACAGGGGCGGGGTTTTTAAACTATTGCGAGGGCGGGGGAGGGTACACCCACCCGAACCCGCCCCGTTGCTATCCCTACTATTATTAGAATTGTATTAGAGGAAACCCAAAAATTCAAAAAATATATATATATAATAAAAATCATAATGTTTATATATACAATAATGTGATGTTCTCATCCACGTGCTAATGAATCTCTTAATATACACACTAATAATATCATACTTTTTATTCATTAACAAAGAGTAAATATATATATTTTTTTCTTTTCCTTTCATATTAGAGTAAATATATATATATATATATATATATATATATATATATATATATATATTTCATTTCCTTTCATGTTTTATGTAATACCCCGTAATTTATTAAAGAGTTTAGTTTATTTGAATTAATTAATGTTCATTTAATGGTGCATGTATTATTATTAATAATTTTATTTGTTGATTATGTTTAATTAAGCATTATTAGTTAATTAAAGTATTATATTTGTGTTATAAAGTATTATGATGATATAATGTATTCTTATGTTATAATAATAATAATAATAATAATAATATAATAATAATAATAATAAATCAATGTAATGATGGAAAAAATTAAATCTTAGGATAGGATTTCATTCCCATAGTTGAACCTTAGGACATTTTGCTTGACTTGGCTTGCTTGGCTTAAAGCCATATAGGTAGGAATGTGAGGAATGGGTGAGAATTAAATGTAAATTTAGATATTTGTATTATATATATTATATAAGTTAGTATATATATATTAGTTAGCCAACTTACCCTTAAGGCAACTCACCTAAGTAGAAAAGAAAGAAATTTCAGTGAGCAATTGTTGAAGAGTGAAAGGAAGAGAGAGAAAGAAGGGAGCCTGTACCGGTGTAGGCGATTTTACCCGACTACGCGCAACCGGCGGATTTATTTTAAATCCTAAAGGCAAGTTATTATCTACTTTTCCCCTTTGAATTAATAAATTAATTGCTTAGTTTATTTTTATGCATAGAGACCAGGTTAGGAAGTTAATAAATTATTAATTTTAGTTTATTAAATTCATGAAATTTTAATTATATGGGACGGTATATATTTATTTAATATCCTATGAAATTAATAATGGCTGAAAATAATTAAATAAGGTTTTAGGGATTTTTCTAGAATTTTCTAGATTTTTCCGGGGCTTTTCAGCATTTTTCGGCGACCTTCCGACGAGTTTTCCGGTCGCCGGCAATGGGGGAGATGACCGGAGTGATGCGGCGCACCATAGGAGGGTATGCGCGCGCATCTGGGCCATTAACAGGAGCGATTGATCCGGTGCACCGCGGTCCATGTTACCGTGGTACATCCAGATCTGTGAGCGTTAGATGGAGGGAAGATAGGGTGAGATGATCCGGTGTGGCGCGCATGTAGGAAAGATGATGCAGCCAACCAACCGGAGGACGCCGCGTCAGCAAGAAGCCATCAACGCGCGCGTGGGAGCGCGTGGAAGTGCGTGCAAGAGTGGGGAAGGTTGGGCTGCGCGTGGGGAAGCTTAGGGCGGCGCGTGGGGGCGCGTGAGGGGCCCTGTCAGCTGCTGGAAATTACCAGAATACCCCTAGGGCCTGTTTTGTAAATTCCAGAACCTTAAACTTGGATTTTTAGGTACTGTGTTGGTATTTACAGGTTTAACGGGCTACGAAATTATTATTTTAATACCCGTTACTTATTCTTATGGCCGATTAATCTTTTCTAAGCATGTATTAGCTCGTTTACAGTACGGATATTAATGTGATTTATTTAACGACATTGTAAAATATAAATAGTGTTATTATCTTATTAAATGGTATCAAACATTACTGTTAAATTAAATAATGCCATGGTTTTAGTCATATGAATTATCCATGATATCTTATTGGATGTTTATACTGTTAAAATGATATATAAACCATGATTATTATGCTGTGTGCATTTCAGGAAATAAATGGACTGTTTAATTATGTCGCATTTATATTATATGAATGTGTTGCCATATAGAACCATGTGAGCTGGCTAATAAGTTTAGACTCATTTACACCTTATGCATTCATTGCTATAGACAGATGTGTGGCTGTCGGGGTATGTGGTTTAATATTATTGGCATGTGTTGCCTAATTGACATGCTCAATATGTTTAGTAATATTATTGGCATGTGTTGCTTAATTTATATGCTCAGTATATTCATCAGTACTTTGAGAGGTGTTATCACTGTGTAGTTCGTTATAGTCTGTGTTATCAGTACCGCGCACCATGTATAATAGCTGATTTCCCGGGTAGGGAAAGGCGACACTTAACCACCTAGTGTGAGTCTAAGTGATCACCGTCTATTCTGGTTGAGGTCATGTTATACATTGGATAGTTCCCTTAGGATGTATACAGATATAGTACTCGTCCGATTCATAATGATTAATTTATTTGATTCTCTGATTTGGGTCATAGTAGAGAGGACTTGCTCGTGGAGTTGACCTTGTTGTTATTTCAGGATACGGTCAGTACCCGTTCCAAGGTTGAGGTTAGCAGTGAGGGACCACCATTCGAACTCATCTACTCTTACGATCCAGTTCAGGGTAGAAGTTTTATGTATTACTTCAGTTTCAGTTTTTATTTTCTTTTGACGTTGAACTCTCAGGTTTATATTTAGGGATCCTTGACATAGGATTTTCAAGTTGTAATGGAGTACTGTATTAAATAAAGGATGGATGGATGTTGTATTGTTTAGTGTTCCTTTCCTGTCTAAATTCTTTATTTATCATCATTTTGTATTCTATGCTTGTATATTGCCAATTGTTTTTGATATCGCTCGTTTTTCGTGTATAAGCCTGATCAACTTATGCGTGGAAAATGTTGGGGGTGTTACAGTTGGTATCAGACCATTCCAGGTTCGAGTGTCTTAGGGATCTGTGATTACTATACTTTCGCGTTGTGTATTCTGATAATTAGAGCCTAAGTATTAGGGTTCTTTGTATTCTTTTAGTCGATCCATTATAATGTACTGACGTTAGATTTTTCTGAATTCAAAAGAAGGATGTCTCGGTGTGGGACAAGGAATGCGAACCGTCATCGCAGTATTTCCCCAACTCAAAATAGGAATCAGGAATTTTCCCCTCAAGTTGCTGATATTATTGCACGAGCTGTAGCAGCAGGAGTAGCATCGGCTCTACGAAACCAGCAACCTCCTCCGGTAGTACCTGTTCCTGAACCAGTGGCACAGCCAATGTCATGGGACAAAACTCGTCACTCGTTTATCAGAGGGAATCCACCATCGTTTGCGGGGTCCACAGATGTCCTGTTAGCATATAAGTGGAAACAGGAGAGCGAGCGTCATCTTCGGATGGTAATCTGTACCGAAGTGCAGAAACAGATGCTAGCTACGTTTATGCTGATAGGCAATGCATTACAGTGGTGGGAGTCTATTACTACTGTCGAAGAGAGGACCAGATTGACTTATGCTGAATTTCAGACTCGCTTTGACCACAAGTATTTTCCTATGTCAGTAAGATCAGCGATGAAGACTGAATTTCTGGATCTGCAACAGGAGGATATGACTGTGGCTGAGTATGAACAGAAGTTCATTAATTTGTCATTATTTGCACCAGAGGAGGTCAATACGGAAGAAAAGAAGAGAGACCGCTTTATGAAGGGGTTGATATGGCCGATTAAAGTGGTGATCATAGATAGTCCTGCATATACTACTTATATCCAGGTGGTTAATGCCGCTTTACAGCACTGCCAGATGAGGAGTGATTACCGGAAGTCCAAGGGAGATAAGCGGGCTAACCGAGACTACCAGACAGTGGAGAAAGGAAGTAGCAGTGGTACCAAGTCCAATGATCGGGGCAGATTTCAAGGACATCAACCTTGGAAGAAAAACAAAGGAAACCCAGATGTGCAGAGGGATGGAGTCCCTAATCAGGGTAGACAAGGTGGGGTACCTCAGATCGGACAGGAACAGTTTTCGGGAAGTCAACAGAGGAGGCAGGCAGGTCCTTTTACAGGACGTTGTTATCACTGTAGAGAGATTGGGCATCCGGCCAAGATGTGTCCCAAAGCTAAGCAGGGATAATATAGGCAGCCGAGACCTAATCAGCC